ATACATAGAGAAATTATAGCCAGAGGAAGGAACATGATGGAAAATGATACCCTTAATCTTGACAGCCATAGAGCAGATAAATTTCCAAAATTTAGAAGCTTTTGAAGCAGGTGGTTTCTAATGAGAGTCATATTTGTAATTAATCCAATTAACCAGCAAAGTGTTTTGTGAAATCAATCGCCAAATAAGAGAGCATCCAAACCTAAAGTAGAGAGATTGTATGCTAGGCATGCCCAAACCAACAAATTTTTGGGGCAGCAGGTGTTTTGTCAGGTTATAATACGAAGTTTTTCCCCCTAATGTAACCATGAAATAAAAATTCAGAGCCTGCCAATAGTTTTACAAAAAGATTTGGGTATAATTGAACCTCTAATTCATTAAACAATTGTGTTAAAGATGTAAACCTCAGGAATTTAATTCTCCTTGCAAAATGAAAAAAAATTAATTTTCTATCCAATAAATAGAGTAGAAATCCTACTCAGTAGTGATTGAAAGTGAGTAGAGGAAAAATTATTATCTGATATATACAAGCCTAAATATTTAATAACTGAGTTGGCCTGAGAGATTCCAAGAGTATGTCAAATGGAAGGGGCAGCAGGGAAGTTAGAAGAGAGGAGGATGGAGCTTTTTGTTTGATTTCTATGAAGCCCAGAGGCGGTTGTAAACTTGGTTTTACAGGAGTTTAGAGAGGAAGCATTTTGGGTTGTGGCTTTGCTAAACATGTAATAGGTGACTTATGCTTTTTGCCATTGAAAGAAATACCCGAGAAGGGGTTAGCTTGGTTGGGAGCTTCCAAACAACAAGAAAGAGCATCTATGACAATACAAAATAGTAAGGGAGATAAGGGGTAACCTTGACTCAAACTGGAAGTAGAATAAAAGAAACCTTCAAGAGCTCCATTAATGCATATAAAAAAATACACATTGGAAATACTAATCTTGATCTATTTATTGAAAAAAGCATGAAAATCTTTTTGCTCCAACGTAGAGATTAGAAAATCATGAGATATTGTGTCAAAAGCTTTGGAAACATCGAACTTAGCAAAAAAATAATTCATATTAGCAGAAATATTGAAGTCCGTTAAGAGCTTAGAAGCAAGTAAGATATTATCCGTGGATGTACTTTTAGAAGTGAATCTAGCTTATGTTTGGTGGATAATGTGAGGCATGATACAGTTCGTCTATTTAGCCAGAATCTTTGCAATGATTTTATAGAAAAAATTGCAAAGGGAGTAGGATGAAAATCTAAGATATTTGTGGCATGAGAGCATTTAGAATTAAGGAGATAACAGTAACCTTAGCACATTTAGGGAGCTGGGAAGTGTTGAAGAAGTTTTTGATAGCATTCCAAAGTTGCAGCCCAATGATATCCCAACAGAGTTTATTGGACTCAATTGTAAATCTGTTAGGCCCTGGGATAGAAGAGGAAGGTGTGGAGAAGACCACTACTTTAATTTCCTCATTTTTGATAGGGCAGCTCAAGTGGTCAATATTATTAAGGGGAGTTATGTTTCCACATGGAATGTTGTGGGAGAGACCATGAATAGGCTTAGAGGAGTTGAAGAGGTTTTTGAAGTGCCTAATAAAGGAAAAATCAATGTCATTATGAGGAATGAATGTCCCAAGGAAGTGGAGATTTCCTTAACAAAGTTTGAATTTCTTCTGGACCTAATCTTAGCTTAAAGAAAATCAAGGTTATCCTCCCCATATAAAAGCCACTTAGAGTTAGCCCCCTGAATTAGCTAGGAGGACCAAGAAAGTTGAAGAGAAGCCAATTGGGATTTAGTTTGTTTGAGAACAGAATTCAGGGTAGGTTCCTAGGGTTGTGGTAAAGATAAAGTAAGTATCAAGGTTGTTTGTATTTGAGCCTTTGAATTACAGAGAAAATGAATGAAGAAAACTTCCAGTTCTTGCCTTTAATTATGAGTTTGAGCTTTTACAGCTTTGCATAGAAAGTAGCAATAGGGTTACTAGAATTATAAGAAGAGAAAGCAGTTGTTACGACTTTTCAGAAGCTATCAAAATCATCCACCAGTTCTTAAAATGAAATATGCTTCTTAGAAGCTAAATTGGAAGTGGAGAGCACTAAAGTAGAATGATCATAACAAAGAAGGGCCTCAACGCCTATAAAATAAAGGGAGTATATCCAGTCAAGCATCATTAACCAGCATTCTATCTAATTTGATATGGATAGGACTATCCACCCTTTGATTGTACCATGTATAAAAATAAACCAACATAAGCAAGATAATGCACTCCAACATTAAACATAACTTTACTGAGTTCGCATAGTTTACTAAAGTGGATTGGATGCCATCAAATTTCTCATGCTCAACCTACAATAGTTGAAGTTTCCCATAATTATCCTGGGAGAGGATATGTTGGAGGCAAGAGTAGAAATTTGCTGCCAAAGAGATTTTCTTTCGTGCAGAGAGTTAGTAGCTTAAACCACAAAGAGAAAGACAGCAAGAGAAGAACCAGAGGTGAGGGAGCCATGGATAAATTAAGAAGATATGAAGGAGGGGAAGAAAGAGATGTTAAAAAAATTCCATTTTAGCCAAGTTCTTCCAATGGAGGATGAATTAAATTTGTTATAGCTTTCATTCTCAAACACCAAGTGGGAATGAAAAACCATGGGTCAGAAACCAGATAGGGCTAAATTTTTGCCACAAGAATGCACAACATGTCAAGGCAAAAAGACTTAACCAGGTATTTAGAACTTGTCAATTTCTCAGGGTTATAAAATATCTTATATTTCGACAAGCAATAGGGGGAAATCTTAT